ATCACTGGAAGAAGAAATGCTGGGAGACGGCCAGGGAGTCCAAGGGCAGAGATGAGGAGAGAAGCGTTAGGGAGGAGGGACAGACAGCCCAGGCAGCCCAGGACGAAGCAGCAAGCGATGTAGGGGCGGACTTCGGACAGCTCGTGCCAAGCTGGGAAGGAGACGGAGGAACGGCAAGGGCGGGAATGAAGCGGAAGGAACGGGAGGACACAGGGGAGCAGGCGGCTGGGGGAGAGGCGAGCCGGCAGGCAACCAGCCAGGGCAGCGGCGGGAAGGCGGTCGAGAAAGGGGTGAGGAGGTGGCGTCGAGTGTGCGACTTGTGCGGGGAGGGGCACCATTGGAAGAAGAAATGCTGGGAGACGGCGAGGGAGCTTGGACGTGGTCATCAGGGGGAGGGGAGAGGAAAAGAGACAGAGGTGGAGGTTGGTATGAGGACTGCGAGGACGACACCAGCGTTGGCATTGAGGAATCCTTCGTCTATGTCACAAGATCTGGTTCACTTCAAGATTCAACCAACAAACAGTGAGAATCGATCTCAAGTGGGTAACTTGTACTGGAAGCATGTTGGCCAATCCTCCTCAATGCATGAACCTATGGTTGGTAAAGATTACGTCTGTCTTTGTGACATGTGTGGGAATTTTCACGATTGGAGGCAAAAGTGCAATCAAGCAAAAACGTTCTCGTCTAACGCGGCAAACTCTCAACAAATGCTGTTTGGTCAAGACGATGACAGTGAATCAATGCCGAGATCTCAAGAGGCCGAAGAAATCGAACACCAGCAGGCTGCACATGGGAACATGGAGCTTGTAAATGCTGCTTCAAGTTCAAACAGTACAAGTCGAGGAGCCGAAATTGATCTTCCTGTGGCTCCTAATGCCAAGAAGGGAAGGTCAAAATATGTGTGGAAGTTGTGCGAGTTCTGCGGGGAAAGACACCATGCATTGAAAAATTGCTCTGGCCAGGTCGTTTACGATGTGTGTCTTGTTTGTGGGGAGCGGCATCACTGGAAAAGGAATGCTTTGAGTTGAACTTTGACTCAAGTCGCGACTCATCAAGGAGGCAGGAAGAAGGCGCAAGGTCAGCATCCCAGCACGACAGTCAGAATTCGGGGAAAAGAATTTACTCCTACACGAAAGTCTGCCAGCTGTGCGGCGAGATACATCATCACAGGAAGAAATGTTTGGGCGTTCGCAACCCGGTGCGGCAACCTTCTACGGAGAGCCAAGTCACCAACAACAGACCAGAGGTCGAGGAGACAAGCGACCCGCCAGTCCCTGATCAGGTGACTTCCACCTTGTCTTGCATGCCACCTGACTCACTCCAGAAGTCCAACGTGCTGAGAATCATCGGAGAGATTCGTGAGGAAGCTCGCATTGCCACAGCTGAAATTGAGAGACAGGCGAAGCTGCATAAGGAGCAGATCCGTGCTGACTCCATCCGGCTCATCAATCAACTTCGCCAAAGCATCGGCCAGTGACACGGAGAAGAAATTAGCTGGGGTTACTCACCCACCTCTTGTCACATATCTCTAGCTTTACTATACATGCACTATAGAAACTCTGGCGAAATCTCTATTCGGTCTATGGATACATCTAAACTTTCTGCCAAAGCAAAGCGCAGAGTCTCAAGGTCGGACTCCCTGGTCAGCCCGTCCAGCACAAGAATCAAAGTGTCACTCTCTTCCCAGTCAGAGTCGAACTCCATCTCTCCCATCATGGCGTCCCAGGGGACAAGCGTCTCGTCATCGATCGCCACTGGGATCCTCTCGAGCTTGTACTCGTACTCCTTCTCCTCCGCAGCTTTCATCGCTAGATTCTGCTGAATCCTCTGTAGCTCGCTATGACCAGCCACAAGGTCCTTGAATTTCTCATCGAGCGTGTCATTGTAGTGCATCAGATCCATCTGGGTCATGCTCCTCCTCGCTAGCTCCTGGTCCCTGGCCCTCTGCAGCAGCACAGCCCCCAAGTCCATCTGCTTCTCGATGAACTGAATGGCCATGCGCGTCTCGGTGATGATTTCTGAGACGATCTCGCTCACGTTGGCGTGCATGGACTGCCGTCTCAGGTTTCGCTGGGCGAGAAAGTCGATAGACAAGGCAACCACCGCGATGATGACGGAGTTGAGCACACCGGTGCTGATGCTACTAGTGTCCGTGAAGGTGGTGAAGCTGATAAGCAAGAAAACGTCAAGCACGATCACAGAGAGCAGCAGCAGCCAGATGGAGTTGATGTGCGAGCCCAGGGAGACCTTCTTTCTCATCAACATCCTGTTCACGTTCTTCTTTATCAGAGTGTCTAGCGACTCCTTCGGGATCTGGGGCGTTTTTCTCTTGAACAGCATCTTCGATTGTTCTCCAACAGAGACCCGTATGCGGCCGTAGAGCTTCTTCCTAGTCAAGGAGTACCTCCCGATGACAAAGACGATTCCGAACACAGCAACTACGTAAGGAAGGAAGAAGGCTGCACTGAAGAAGAGACCAAAGATGATCCAGGTCAACACGATGAAGAAGTAATAGGCAGAAGCTGTGAAGATTAACGTCAGCCCGGTGTACCAAGCTCTTCGCAGGTATTTCCTCCAAGGGCTCCAGCGCAGGTTGCCATAGAAGGCGTAGAGCTCAAAGAAGGAGAGAGCAAAGTAGACCACACAGACTCCGATGATGGCCCAGGAGCCGGCAGGCAGGGAAGCCTGACACGTCAGCTTGTCCGTCACTTCTGGACAGACGTATCGATGCGTGGCATCGCTCAGGTTGATTGCGAAGAGGATGGAAGGGACCGACGATATCGCTATCAGTATCATGTGGGTCAGGAATATCGAAAGCTGTTCATAAAGGCTTTGAGCGTGATCCGCCTCAGTGATTAGAGTATCGATGACATAGAACAAGTTTGTCTTTGCGTAGAACTGATCGTACAAAGAGTCCACGACCTTCTGATACTGTTCGTTGTTTGGGTTCATCTTGGAACCCTCAAAGAGCTGTCGCACTGACAGCTCGTCTTCGATCGCTCGCTCTCGCAACTGATCCACCCCTACTCGGATTTTGAATCCCAAGTAGACCATCAAACCAATCGCCAGAACAAGCGGCAGGCCGAGACCGAGCAGCAGGATGATAATGACGAAGGAACTGTTGGACCGTTGAATGCTCGTGGCTGTGATTTGACCCGAGAAAGGATCGTGTTGAAAGCTTATGTAAGAGTTGGCATCTAGACGATACACGAGAATGCTGTTCGAAGCCATGTTCTCTCCATCGATGGTAGAGAAGATGAGCTGGTAATATTGAATCAGATAATCTACGTTCCCCACAGACGACCTTCGCTTGGCTGGGAATTCGATCGTTTGATTCGGCATAGTGTATCCCTGAGCAGCGTTGGGCCCGAGGTCAACGGTAGGGCAGAGAGATGGTTTGACGTCGACGTTCACCGTCTTGTCCTTGGGGTCAAGCAGCCCAAACGACACCAAGTACAACAAGAACCTGGGGAGCACGAGATAACGAAAGCTCGACGTCCACACGAAGGAGCCAGTCGGAGAGCCCGGGCCATGGAGCTTGATCTCATACCACTCGACCTGAGGGCGGTTGCTCTCGCCGGGGTGAAAGTCCAGATGGAGAAATGAAGCTGATGTGTTTTGAAACGCCAGCGTGCGGCTGCCATAGATGCCATCGTAGACGTAAAGCTTGTCAAGCGCCTGGTTGCCGGACATGGGAGGCAACCTCGAGGTTGGGATGCTCGAGAAAAAGATCTGACCCCCCGTTGACATCAAGTTGACTTGAACTCTTGAGGTGCTCAGGTCATTCTTGAGCTCATATGGGATCAAGGTAGCATAACTGTTCTGTTGACAAGTCCATTCCCGTTCCAGCTGCGTCGTCGTTATCACGGCAGTGACAAGTTGTCCATCAACGATCCTCGACACGTTTCTTGTGACTGAGACGTTTCGAAGAGATTCTTGACAGAAGTTGTCTAGTTGGAAGGCGGGGTCTTGTTTGCTCATGAAGCACACGTCGTTCACACGCTGTTCGTACTGCAGGCTGTAAGGCAGCAGCATTGAAGCATCGTCGCTGACTGTAACCTCAATGTCAGCGTTGGCGGTCATTGCAGTGATCGACTGAAACGTGCAATTCTCAAGTATCACAAAACCGTCATTCAACCCAGGAATCATGATCATTCTTGCTCTGATGTTGTAAAGCTCAACCTGCATGAAGGTTCCAGCCAAACTCAAGGAGTTTGGTCCGAAGTTTAAAGTGTCGTCAGTGTTGAGCATCTGAATCACAGATGGCTTGGAGCCCACATTCGAAATCGATGTGATTGGAATGATGTGATTAGGATCGGGAGAGATGTGAATTTGAATTTCGCAGTCATACCCCACATATCGTGTCAGTTCTGCTCTAGTATTGTGGATGCGAACATATTGGTCTGCTGAACAGAAGTCAGTCAAGACAGACACTGCTGACCCTCCACCCTGGGGACTGACACGGAAAGACAACGAAGTTGGATCATACAGCCCTATGCTCGGTACTTTGACGAAGTTGACTTTACATCCGTCGGTCTGTATAGAAATACTTGTTGCTCTTTCCAAAGTCTGCACAACCTCGTTCGTGTTGTTCAAGGACGAAATAAGCCCTGGTATCAGACACGCCAACACTATGACTATCACCAAGTAAAATATTTTGCCCATGTGAGCATTTTCTTGGGGACTGAAGGATATATGTTGTGTCGACCTAAGAAAGTTTTCTGACAGCTTGACCAAGTAGATTGGGAAGGTTCCATGGTTTCGCCTAGCCCACATGAAGAACAAGTACAAGAAGACAATGAGCACAAACAGCAGAGGCGCACCCGTGCTGGTAGTCTGCCACGTGTTGACTTGACGAGGAGTACACATGTTCCATGAGTAGCATCCAGTGTCATCACAGTAGGTCGAGCAAGTTCCGTATCGAGGGGGCCCACCTATACTGGCTGCTTCCAGACACTTTCCTTTCCCTCCACAAGCCGACGGGCACCAGCCGCACTTCTGAACCCTCTGCTGTATGCAAGCAGCACACGTCGAAGCGACGCAAGGCTGCGATCGTGTGACGACAATGTTGAGGGTGTAGGTGACAGCAGTTTCGTTCCTCCCGTTGAGGTTGATGCCGGTGCAGCCGTTGTCGTTGAGCTTGAAGCGAATCGCTTCAATCCCAGTGAACTGAGGGTCTGACTGATACTGCAGGCGAGCCAGCATGGCATTGATGCCTGGCACAAGACCATAAAACGACACCGAAGGACCAGAAACGTTGGAAACAAACTTTACAGCTGGGGCAAGCGAGGCGTTCAAGAAAAGATTTCCGCCACTGAGGCCAACAGTCAGGAAGAAGAGCACAAGCGTGATCGGGCTGACCTGCTCGTCTGTATCGAGACGTTCATCATGCAGCCTGGCGTATCCGCGATGTCGACGTCTTCGACCTCTACTTTGTTCAGAGAGGTCGTCTCGTTCTGCACTGCCTGCATCAATGGGAACGGGTTGCTGTAACGGACAGTTCCCTGGGTGTTGAAAGTGAACAACACCGGAGGGTTGTTCACTGCCTGGATCTGCAACGTCAACCACCTCGTCACGATCTGTTCTTTGAACGGAAGGTTGGTGGAGCAATACGCAAACATGACATCCGCTGGAACATCTGCTGGAGCGTTACATGGGTATCCAATGCCTACGTTTCCCAGGTCGTTCACTTGGAACGAAATGACCTACACAACAAAGTCAGCGTCATTCACACGAGGAGCAAGCAACCTTCTCCCCGTTGTCATACTGCGGAGGGTGATAGTAAATGGCGTTAGAATCGATCAAGCTTTGAACATTCCTCATGACACCCAAAAGCACCAGAGAGCTTGCATTAGCAAAACCAAGCACATAATTTCCTGCCGTCAATTGCAATATTGTATCTTGCACTGCTATTTCTGCTTGTTTGAGGGCGTTTGAGGATAGTTGCTGGAATCAACACAAGTGAGCAATCATCTCAACAACAAACGCAAACTTTCGACCTGATATAAAGAAGAGTCAACAAAGGTCTGCAAGCATTGTGCTTCACTGAGCGCCCCGAGAGCCATGGATGCTACAGAGCAATACAATTTCACGCGCTCACACTCCGACGTCTGTGATTGGCAAACATCCGCAAGAGAAATACCATTCAGGCTCAAAAACTGATTGGACGGATTGCATGATATCTTCATAATGCACAGTTGCAAGTAACTTTCTCTGGTGACGAACCCAAAATACTTAGCTAGCAGACTCCTCAGGTCGACGACAGAGCTTGAAGTCACGTTCATCGTGCCAGTGAGTCCGTCGATCTTCAAGGCGAGCCTTCCTTGTGCCTTCGCACAAGGCGCTGCTGCACAAGGCTTCTCGTTGATGTCCGGGTCACTCAAGATAAAGTTTGAAAGTCGAATGGTCTGATTTTCTAACGAACTCAAAGTGGAAGAAATGAAGGTGACGTTCGGTGGATCATTGACATTGATGATGTTGATCGGATACGTTTGATTGCTAGAATTCGAAATTTTGACACCGAAATTTCCTTGATCATCGCATGACACATGTAAAAACTCTTTTCCAAGGTTGTTTGTGTTGAAACTTTTTTCAGCATAATAGATCAAACGATCATTTATCACTTTTTGGACATTGGTGATGTTGCCAGACAACGAAATCTGATTGGTAGGAATCATTTTCTGACCAGCTGGAAACAAGCTGCTGAGGTATGGTACATTCCATGTGACGCTGATGCTGGTCACAGGGAGGTTGACGCAAGGTTCCTGCGGAGGGTTCAAACTCAGTGTGCATCTCACCTCCGAAAGAAAGCTCTCACCATCTCAGTATCAGATCCATACCAACCGGGAGGACATGTCGGGCGATTTAAAGTTTGGTTGGCCCAGAGAGATAGCTGAGAATTATTCAAGTATGCTGCGCACTGCGCCCCCCATTCATACAGTTGTTCTTCACTGATCTTCGATCCAGGTGGCTTCACTTCGCATCGCCCCAGCAGCAGACTAAAAATACCATGTTCAACACTGAGCGCTACAGAGACTGAGAACTCGATTCCGCTCTTCTTCATCAACTGCTCAGTTGCAAGCGAATAGTCTGGATCAATGACTTTTAACTTGTTGAATCGCAAAGAGCCTCCCTCGAGCAGGTTGAAACCAAGAAATTTCACTTGGACGTCATCCACCAAAACCATCTGACCATTAGGGTTCCCTCGAGAGTGAGAAGAAGCCCTCAGCACTAGCGGGTATGAGTTTCTTGAGTGATGAATGAAATCAGTATAAGCAATGAGGAGTATCAAGGGACTGACCTGTACGACGTGAAAGAAGCAGAGTAGAACAGCTTGAAAGGGTTGGCAGGGTTGAACTCCAGACGGGAGGCGTTGATAGTGGGAGGACTAACTTCCCAGGCGTTCATGTCCGAATGGTTCAAGAAGGCCTCGAAAGAGAAGGCTTCGTTCCCATTGGAGCTCACTCCTACCTGCATGGAGATCTGGAAAGAAGCTCCCAGCGTCAAGCCGTCAACCGTCTGATTGACATCGACCGCAGGAGAGGGGAGCATGTAAAGGTGCTGGAGGCCCTCGGGCGAGGCGAAGTCACCGTCCCACCCGTCAAAAGAGATGCCTGCCAGCGGCGACATGGCCCAAGAACCCTCGCGTTGAGCTGGGCTTGACAAGACGCCAACGCAGGGTGTGGATCCATTCGGTTGCAAAAAGGCGATGGAGCAATCGCGAACCCCCTGGCAGAGCGAGGGATGCTCGAACCCTGAGTTCTCCACAAGCCCATCGAGAGAGACATGGCAGGGTTGGCTCTGAGGCACTATCTTGATGTTCGCCTTCCCTTCAATCCAGTTCAAGTGTTTCGAGCTGGTCAGCCCGCACGAAAAGTTGAGATTGAGCGGGTCATTCGGGTGCAGCTTATCTGAGACCATTATCTAGAGCACGAGACGTCAGCAAGCAAGCCAGAAAGAGTTCACATCTGTGCATCACCGACAGCGCTTCGCCGGTGGGAAGTGAGAGGTAGTTGCTGTTTTCCCGAGGCACATAAACAATGCTTTGAAGAGCATTCTACAGATGGGGTAAGGTTGTGCGATCGTGTCCGCCATCAGCGTACCTGGATGTCGCCTTGGAAGCCTCTCATTGCGAGTGACGAGCACAAAAGTCCAGGTGGCACAGTCTTGCAGATACAGGAACCTGGAGCTCCGACCTCGGCAGATGAAGTTGGGTCCCAAACACATTCGTAGCTGGTGGCACAGTCTCCTGCAGTAGCATGCATCGAACACTCTTCGTTCTTGCAATCCGCTTGTAAAAAGAACGTAAGGGAGGAGGCTGATAGGGCATTCAAGGCTTCTATGGCGGCCTCCGATGCAGTTGGAATGAAAATTCTGCCGTACACAACCTACAAAAACTTCACTCGATTGCTTCTGAGCCCATGTAGATACCTCCACGCGCAGCGTGAGTTGTCCATAGCCCTTTCCTAGATGTATACACTCATCCGAATCTACATCAGCAATCCCAAGACCAGGGGAAAGAGCAGCTTGCGAGAGTTGCACTCTTGTGTTCTCCAAGATGGCGATCGGGTCTGTTGTTCTTGGGGTTGTGATAGTAGGAGGGTTGTTCACAGGAATGACGTTGACAGGAACTTGTAAGGTCGAGGCTGCCGACGAAAAGTCATATTGCCCGGTCTGATCGGATCCACTGAACCCTTGGTCACTGACTACGATGGATATTGTTTCAGTACCAACGTTGCTGATTGTCAACCAAGACTTAGCAAACTTATGACACCCTCCACGAAATTTACCTGTTAAAATATGGATCCCTTGCTGAAAGCTGATATCGGAGCAAATGTGTTGCTGCATTGGCATCAGCAATCGATGCCAAGAAGGACATCTCGGGCATGAATTGACTTTGAGGGGACTTGAAGAATCGGAGGTTGTCAAACTTTGACAATGACAGGGATCCATGCTTGGCAGAGAGATCAAAGGTCAGCTGGGGACACAGAGATGACAGGGAGTAACTCAATGATTCTCCTGTTGATACAAGTCACCCTGCTCACGAACAGACTATCACATCACCTTCAACTAGAGCTTTCGAGATGTTTGGCTTACAGTCAAGAGGAGCATCTTCAAATTCATCCACAATCTTCGTCATCAAGCTACCAAGAGGTATTGGTATCGTTGATCTTTCAAACACAGCTATGTTGACGGATGAGTTCAGATCAAACGGAAGCCCTCCTGTGTTGGGTTGATGACAAGTGTATGGAAGGTTTGTGTTGGCACACTTCTGCCTACACCCCGAGGATAGTTTGCCTTGAAAGATAACACACGGCTTGTCGTTGACTGCCATCTAGAATACAAAGAATTAAAAAGAAAAATCACACTCTCACCATATCAAATATTCACATCCTCACAAGATCAAACTTTCACCCTCTCACAAGATCAAATTACCGAGTAGATGTTATAGAGCAAGACAGTCTTGTACTTGGTCATGCCAATTCCACTCGCTCCATCATCATCAAAAGTGATTACAAGGTCGTCCAAAAAGGTTCCCATCTCTGCAGCCGTCGAGAAGGAATGAGAAGGAGAATTGGTCCTCTATGTAAGCAAGAGCATCAGCACGTCACCTTCGCCAGGAAGAGATGGTGGCTTACCTCATAGATTCTCTTCGCGCACTCCAGGCTACAACCCGAACTGCTTTGTACACCAAGGAACACTGGTTCGGCTACATTATTGAGGAAGCATTCTCTCGGGCAATCTACATAGTCCGGGTTCGTTTCTGCACTGAATGCATTTGCGTATTGCAAGTTCTCATCAATGTTCGTTTGATAGACTGCATTCATCAAAGCCTGGCGAACATCAGAGGCATAGCCAGAAAACCTGACGACTTGATTTCGAAAGCCATCGCCCTTTGTGAAGGTCAGATGAGGACGGATACTGTCTGGAATTGTGATGGTCCCGAGCCTTGAGGACACTTCGACCGTGAAGCGAGAAGTCCGCGATTCACCAGGAATTGGTTCTGGCAAGATCTGGATCAGGTACGGACAAGTCTCATACCACCCTCGATTTCCACAATCTTCAAGAGCAACATATGCTGGCAGGTCCCCCTTGACAGAAAGTTCCCTCAACCAACTGTCTGCATACCATGGCTGCATATAGAGATTGGTCCTCCGTTCCTTCATAGGGATCACTCTGAGATTGGTGTAGGCCATGTTAGGAACGTAGCAATCTTGAGGTCCAAACAAAAGTTGTTGTTGCAGACATGACGAAATCGCTGAAATGTCAAGCACTTGAAGAGAGACATTGCCCTTTTCTTCATTTAGGATGTTACTGAAATTTGTAAAGGATTGAACAGAAAAATCCCCCAAGACAAGGTTTGTCACCTGTTCAATCAGCAAGATTCAGCGATTGAATGATCAAGAATGAAACTTACGGTAAGACTGGCCTCAATCTGCACTACTGAATCCAAGTAGCCTTGGCCCTGTCTAAGTTGTATTCCACAGCTGGAATACGATTGATTGCCACGGAAAGTCAAGTTCATATTCGCGCCAGAGTAAACTTGCAATGTAGGGTTGAGATACTCATGATTTGCATCAATGTTGAAGTAGGGGGCAAAGAATCTCAAAGTTTCAACGACTGCAATAGGATTCAGTTGCAAACAGACGACCCCCTGATTCAAGGCATTGACGTTGGCCAGCAATGTTGGAACGTCTATGGACGAAGTTACCCAAGTAGCACTGTCCGTGTTGTAACTTGTGACACCCAACTCAGCGATGACATGAATTTGCAGATGGGTGCTCCAAGTGAACGTTTTTGTTGATGCCAGAATTGAACAAGAGACCAGATTGACAGAGAAGTTGCCTTCAACAGTGCATGCCCCCTTGCTGGTTGAAAATTGCTCATCTTTACAATCGTACTTGTACAACGACAGGGAAATTTGTGCTGACAAATACGATTGCAGGACGTGAATTGAGTTTGAGATGTTATATCCCAAATAAATAACTTTTCTTTTCCCCTGCATGCTGTTTAATTTCAGAAAGGAGGACTGGTTCAAGACCTACAAAAACACATGTAAGAAACATCATAAGCAACCGACTGCAACGAACCGGATCAGCGTCAGGTATTGCTTCATCCACATACTTGACTAGTGTGGCATTCCAGTAAATAAATGGCATGTTGTAGAGCAATGTGCAATTGTATTTCAAAAGCGGCAATGTGAGCTTTGCCTGAAAATCAAAATCAATGGGCACACAGCTTGTAGGAGTCAGACGACTCACCACATCACTCGCGAGCATGCTTTGATACAGGGGCTCAGGAGAGCGATACTGATAGGCATCGACATCTACTATGTGTGCGCCCACAATGGAAGTTTGACCAAACTGAAAGAGAGTGGCAGCTGAAGGCATCATAGCGAACGGGGGGTCATTTTGCGGCACAACTGTGACATTGATGTATCGCGTTGCAACGAATGGAGTGTCGTAAGGTGAAACCCCTCCTGACCCAGTGTCGTTCACCGTCACCGTCAAAAAATCTTGGGATCCGTACTGGACTGATGCTCACAAAACTTGTTTGTAGAAGATCAATCCCTTACCTCATAATTGCTGTTGGTCGCAGACAAATATTCCAGATTTTTCAAGAAAGCGTTGCATGCATCTAATCCATCGTGTATCCTACAGAAAGAGATTCAATGAACCTTAAGCAAGAGCAATCCAAACCTCAAATAATGCACAAAGGGCTCGAGCGACGACACTCTGACTCCACTTCCAGTGTTGTTCGTCTGTTGCAACATGTCAACGATCGCAGACAGTGTGAAGATCGAGGTCACCTGGATCTCCAGGATGATCTTACTTCCAGACACATCGTTTGCATCATCTGATATAGAGATTGCTGGGTTATTAAGCCTTGAGGCTTTATCTTCTTGTATAACATATGCTGGGGCAGGAAAAAGAATAACAGGAGGGTCATTTACAGGCAGGACTGCAATCCGTACACCAGTGAGCATTGCATTCCCAGGGAATTTGAATTGAAGGTATTTCTGATACTGCGGGGGAAATTTTGAGTTCCAGTGAGGAACAGGGAGGTACTTCAAGGTGTTGATCTCGGTGGTCAATTCTCGGGCAGTCCCTTGCAAATTGATTGTTGCTGCAGATTGAGCGGTCGCAGTGTAGGATCGACCTGCCAAGATCAAAATCTCTCCAGCAGTGACGTTCTCGGAGCCAGCAACCTTGACAGAGATGATTACACTTGTGGTCCTGCGACATTCTTAGTGGAAAAGGTGGAAAGCAACAGTCACATACCCGAGCGGCCCCTCGACCAAGAGCGATCCATTTGTAAAGGTGCAACTTTCATTCGTTTTTGAGTTGTCGAGCAAAGGAGAATTCTCCCAGCAGCTCATCTCGACGCTGTTGAAAGGGTACCTCTCCAGTCGATGTTCACCGAGGGTCTCGCACACACCACCGGCAGAGAGAGCAGGAGATGACCCGATGCACTGTAAGGCAAGCGAATCGTCAGACCGGTTGGCAGAGATTGAAATGACTCGTCGGCACTTACCGGGCCATCAGAAAACAAGACGCCAACAGTGAGTCCCGATGCGGAGACGATGTGCTTCTTCGAGTATTCGTCTCCCAGGTACCGGACATAGAACCCGGAACATTGCGCGGCTGTACACATGGGCAGAAAGCATACTCCCCCGCACACTCCACAGGAGTCGAGAATCATTCCACTAGAAAAGACCCCATCACAACCAAGTTGACACCTGTCAAACCCTCCACATTTGTTGCATTTATCGCAGACACTTCTCACCGTCGGCACCCCATACAGACTAGCGAATTGACCAATGTTCGCGAAAGGAGCAGACGCTACCGTAGGAACATCAACAACTCCAGCGCAATCCGTAGGCTCCATCACGATCGCAAAGATGTTCGAGGAGAGAGCCTTGGGAGGACTTGCTTCGTTATCAAACGTGCATGATACCATGGTTTCCGGCGGCGGGAGGACAACTCCATCCAAGATTTCGCAGAAGTCGGACACGTTCTGATGTGACAAACTTCTCTTGTAATGAAGCTTGTACCACGATCCTTGCTCTCGAGATTCGAACCAGAACCATTGTTGGCAGGTAGCCTGAAAGTAGACGTGCTGATAAGAGAAAGGCCCAAGACCTGCCCCCACAGGAAACGACTTCATGGCTGAGCTCCAAGGAACATGGAAATCTAGTTTCAGTTCGACGTACGGAATGTAATTGCGATTGGTGCTTGCTTCGTAATGATCGATCCAAAGAGGACAAACCGACGAGTCTATAGGATAAGGTAGACCATACTCCTCCTGCGCACTTCCATTCATGATGTTGTCTGAAGTCCTCGCAAGGGTGACATTGACCGGGTTGTAGAAGAAGACAACACAGCACATGTCCAAGTCTACCTGCGAAGACCATCCCTTCATAGTCACCCCGATGGCTCCACATCTGTCGGTAGACGGGAAAGTGAAGGACACGTTTCGAGGACTCCCAGACGCTCCGATCTTGTAGAAGGCAACCTGAAATGTTCTTGTCGAGTAAAACGTCGGACCACCTGGATCGTTCACAACAGCTGTCTTGAGGCTAGAGGTACAAATAGACCTTGTAAAATTCTGTACAAAACTTAACATGGAGTAGACAGAATCAGTGTACGTGCTGCTGAGTTGTCTGCTGGATCTGATGTGCGTTTCACCGCGAGCATGGCGCTCGAGAGTCTTGTTCGAGATTTCTGATTGGTCTCGATATTGACTTCTCAATCGCACAGGCAAATCTGATGCTTTGCCTTGCGATGGTGTCGTTGCGACAGGATGAACTTCAAACGTAACAAACAGAACACATGCTACCAGAAGGGGAGCTCCTGTGAACAGAAACCGTTGCTTCATTCCATATGAGATTTGATCAAGATGGAATGATTGTGGCTCGGAAAACAAGAGTCAAACACCAGCTTTGAACGTTGTCATAGCAATCACTGAGCTGATTGTTTGATCTTTACACTGTCATCTTGGAGGATAGATACCATGCACGCTCTACCATCGAATGCGGCGGCACCTGCATGGCAGCATCTCTATAGCCGCTGCTCTCCCGCTACCTGCCTCCTCCTCCTCCTCCTCCTCCCGCGTCTCCTCGCCATCCCGTCATGTTCCCCAGGCTGCGACCCTCCTCGTCAGTAGCCACCACTAGAATGGCCCCTCATCCCCACACATTCCTCTTACTGGTCAGTCAGGGGATGAGGGAAGTCCCCCCAATATTGACGTTGTAGGTCGCTGGGCATGCGTGAACCTGAGGAAAGGAGGAAGACGGAGGGAGAGAGAAGGAAGACAGAGAGAGAGAGAGGGAAGGAACATGGAGAGAGAGAGAAGGAAGGAACATGGAGAGAGAGAGAAGGAAGGAACATGGAGAGAGAGGGAGGGAAGGAACATGGAGAGAGAGAGAAGGAAGGAACTTGGAGAGAGAGAAGGAAGGAACATGGAGAGAGAGAGAAGGAAGGAACACGGAGAGAGAGAGAAGGAAGGAACATGGAGAGAGAGAGAAGGAAGGAACATGGAGAGAGAGAGAAGGAAGGAACATGGAGAGAGAGAGAGAAGGAAGGAACATGGAGAGAGAGAGAAGGACGATGGAGAGAGAGGGAGGGAAGGAACATGGAGAGAGAGGGAGGGAAGGAACATGGAGAGAGAGGGGAGGAAGAGGGAGAGGAGGGGAGAGGGAGGGGAGGGAAACAGGCAAAGAAAGAAGACGCTGAAGTGAAAGTGGGGGAGAGAACTTACGGGGAGGGAGGGAGGGAGGGAGAGCAGGAGGGAGGTGATGTGGTCGAGAGAGGTATGGGCGTGTTGATCTCGCTGATCGTATTGAATGACAACGACTTATAGTCTTTCTAATAACCTTCGAATCAGGTGGAGGAGAAAACAGCTGCCTTTTCCATGTGTATCTGATCTGAGATCCTGCTGAAATCATCAAGACATGGCAGAGAAGTCTTCAGATGAAGACAGGGGCTGTGAATGTGGAGTTTGCCTTATCGACTTCCTTCAGAGCTCCTCACAAACCCCTATCTGGCAGTGCAGGGAAGGGCACGCTTACTGTTCAGCATGCTACGACAAGGTGCGGTGGGTTCTTGCACATGCGAGGAGTGTTGACTTGGAGCAGATGGGCAGGGAGGATGCTGTATGTCCTATCTGCAATGTGAGGATGGGAAGCATCAGAAACCGCGCCCTCGAGAAGCTAAGGGATCGTACTCTCCGTCCAAAGGCCCCGGAGGACTCCTGTGGATCCTCCGAGAGGAAAGGGGTCGACCATGGCGGCTTCAAGTTCTCTGATCCGTTTCGGCACACGGCGACCGGGTGGTCCATGCCGTCTGCCCCCCCTCCCTTTGCTTTCTCTCAGCAGTTTTCCTTCGGGGGCTTTCAGAATTCTTCGCATGTACCGCCTTTCGCTCCAGCTCCAGCTCCAGCTCCAGCTCCAGCTCCTTCTTCTACTCCAGCTCCAGCTCCAGCTCCAGCTCCAGCTCCAGCTCCAGCTCCCTCTTCCACTCCAGCTCCAGCTCCAGCTCCAGCTCCAGCTCCAGCGTTTTCTTCCGCTCCAGCTCCTGCTCCTGCTCCTGCTCCTGCTCCCGCTCCCGCTCCCGCTCCCGCTCCAGCTCCAGCTCCAGCTCCTGCTTCTTCTGCTCCCCCTTCTGTCCCTCCTGCTTTTTCTGCGCATCCTGCTCACCCGCCTGCAGCTTCTTCTGCTCCCCCTCCTGTCCCTCCTACTTTTTCTGCCCCTTTCTCCACGTCCTCGTTTCCGAACCCCAAGAGAAAGCCGAAAGCTGGAGCAAGAGGGAGGGGGCAGCCACGGAAAGGCTGCCCGTCCAACGAGGACGGGTTTGTGTTTGAGATTTCAGACCTCCTCAGGAATACCTTCTTGCATCCGCAAGGGCCGGCGTATCCTCCCGGAGCCTCCTGTCATGACTTTCCCGCCTCCTCCTCCTCCTCCTCCTTCTCGTTCTCCTCGACACCGTCTGGCTCCAGCATGCCTCAGCAGTCAGCAACTCAGGGATCTGACTTGCCGCCAGGCCCTGGGGGAGGAGACGAGGGGTGCGGGGTAGCAGAAGGAGAGAGCGCTGCTCCGATGCGAAAGAACAAGAGCAAAGGCCAGCGGAAGAAGACCGTTCAGAGGAAGGAGGGGTCTGACTTCACCTCTACCGAGAGCTTTGTCTTTCATCCTCCCCCAAACTTCTCCTTCCCCCAGCCGAGCTCCTCTGGCTCCACCGGGCAGAGTAGCAACTTCAGTTCGGTGCCGTCGGAGGAGCAGAAGTCGAGAGGGGACAGGGAAAAGGCCGAGTTCGGTGCTCAGCAGCAGTACAGTTCCCCCCCGAATCATAGCAAGGCATGTGGCACGAAGAGAACTTGGCGGAAGGCGAGGCGAGATATGAAGGAAGACAAGCAAGCTACTAGCTTTCAGTTTGAAGTTCCTAAAGCTGCCGGGGGAGGAGAAGCAGGAGGAGGAAATGCAGCAGCAGGCACTAGTAGTACCTTCTTTGACTTCCAGACCTACGCAGAGCTGGTTGACCGCGCGGGCCCGACCGCCACAGCAGCTTTCATCGCTAGGAACCCAGGCGTGTCGCTGTCAGTTCTGCTGGAGATGGTGAAAGAGCGAGAGAAGGCGAAGGAGGAGGAAGTGAAGACGAAGAAAGAGGGGAAGGAGAAGGAGAAGGAGAAGGAGAGGGAGAAGAAGAAACAAGACGCACCGTCGCAGGAAGTTGATGAGCAGAAGACGTGTCTGGAACTTCGGAATCAAGGAAACAATCTCTACATGAAAGGACTCTATTATCAAGCTTGCAGCGTCTACTCGCAGGCAATTTCCATTGGAATGTTCGTTGACGCGAAACTTCAATCTGTCCTGCTCAACAATCGTAAGTAGATCACAACATATCCCTCTCTTTTCTGTTATGTTGCCTTCATCCTCCCCTGTCCTTCTATTTCATTTCCTTCTGCTGCTTCATTCGCCTTGCTCTCCATCATTCCTGCCGATAATCTCATTATCGCGGTCTCGCTTGTTTCCCGATGCTCTTACTCTCTCTCGCATTCTCATGTTCCTTTTCCCAGGAGCTGCTAGCCTGCACAAGCTCAACAGGTTGCAGGAAGCTTATGATGACTGCCGGTAAGGCGAAGAGGACGGAGGGACAGGGAGGAAGAGGGACGGAGGGACGGAGGCGGTAAAACAGAGCGAGGCAAATAGGAGGAGGTGGAGGAGGAGGAAGAGATTGACATTGAACCAGGTCGGCGATAAATCTCGACGGAGAAAACGGGAAGGCGATAGCGCGTGGCGCTAATTATGCAGGAGAGTTGGGACTTTTCAATGAGAGCAAAGAGCTCTTCAAAAGAGCGACACAGGTGAGATGAGACTATCATCTCATCTCTCCTCCTCCTCCTTCTCCTCCTCCTCCTATCATCTCATCTCTCCTCCTCCTCCTCCTCCTCCTCCTCCTCCTCCTCCTCCTCCTCCTCTCTTGATCCACAACCTCTCGCTCCCTCGCTCTTCTTCATACACTTCATTCTGCTGCCTCTCGCTCCCTCGCTCTTCTTCATACACTTCATTCTGCTGCATCTTTGACTTGTTTTCGTCTTCTAGTTTTTCCCTGAGTCTGCAGACATGGTCAAGTCCGTCAAGAAGGTGCCTGTCTTTCCTTCCTCCCTGCGTTGCCTCCCAACCCTGCCATCCTTTCCTTCTCATCTTCATTTCTTCTCCACCAAACTCCCCTCCCCTCCCTCCCCTTCCCTTCCTTTTCCTTTTCCTAGTAGCCGCAAGTATTTTGATGCGGCAGCAGATGGAGTCGCTTGCCGAGCAGGTAGACAAGGCTCGCTCGCTGCTGTTGGACGGGGAGGGATCGCGAGCGAAAGCATGCTTGCGCGAGCCGGTTAGTCTGCTCTCTCGCTGTTCAAAGTCTGAGGCTAGTGGCTCAGCTAAAGTCGTCGCCCCAAGTCAATCGAGGTCATGAAGCTGATGGTCAAGGTGAGAACTGGCCGCCCCTCCTCCCCCTTCTCCTCCGCCCCCCGCCGCTCCCTCTCCTCCTCCTCCTCCTCCTCCTCCTCCTCCTCCTCCTCCTCCTCCTCCTCCTCCTCCTCCTCCTCCTCCTCCTCCTCCTCCTCCTCCTCCTCCTCCTCCTCCTCCTCCTCCTCCTCCTCCTCCTCCTCCTCCTCCTCCTCCTCCTCCTCCTCCTCCTCCTCTTTTCTCCTCCCTCCTCCTCCTCCTCTTGGCCTTCTTGCCGCCGTCATCTCCTCTTCGTTCTCTCCTTCCTTCCCCTCCTCTCACCGGCTCACAACCTTGACAGGCCCATCACGCCTGCGGGGAGCATGACGAGGCCCTGCGAATGTGCACGGCGATGGAGGAGAAGGGGCAGGGGGACCTGGAGGTGAAGCTCCTCATGAGCAAGTCGATGGCAGCAGGAGGGAGGCTGCAGGAGGCGATCGCTAAGATGCACGAGATGCTCAAGTTGGACCCCGAGTATCGCGACTGCAAGCAGGAGCTCAAGGACCTGAAGAGGATGGAGGAGATGAGGAGCAGAGCAGAGCAGCTTCTCCGCACCCGCAGGTTCTCTGAGTCAATCGAGCTCTGCTCCGAAGCTCTCCGCATCTCTTCCTGGGCCACTGGCTTCAACGCTGCAGTTCTCCTCACCCGGGCCTCCTGCTGGGTTGAGCTCAAGTCGCTCGAGAAGGCGATCAATGACTGCTCCTCCTCCCTCGACCTGAACCCCCGGCTGGTCAAGGCTCTGATCTGCCGAGCTCGATGCTACATGCAGCGATCGGAGTACGAGGAGGCAGCCGAGGACTTCGAGCGAGCAGCGCAGGTCGACCCCACCCAGAAGCTTCTGCTGCAGCACGAGATGAGCGAGGCGAGGAGGAAGGCGTCTGCTCCTTCCGACTACTACAAGGTCCTCGGCGTCAGCCCCTCTGCGACAGACAAGGAGATCCGAGCAGCGTACAAGAAGTTGGCGCTGCAGTTCCATCCCGATAAGCAGAGCGGAGGAGGCGAAGCTGCAGGCCGAGCCGAGCGGCAGTTCAAGCTCCTATCCGAGGCCTACGCAGGTGAGTCGTGCGCTGATCGCCCGGTAGAGGTTGACAAGCTGCTGCAGTGCTGTATGATGAGCAGAAGAGGAAAGAGTATGACAGGAGCAGAAACCAGAACGCGTTCGAGAACAGGGAGTTCTCGCATGGCTGGAACCATTCCTTTAATTCGAAGCGATCGAGCAAGCAGTGGGACCAACGCTCAAGGTCGTATAACTCATGGCAGCATAGGTAGGGAGCGAGCGTCTCATCCGAAAGACACTCGATCTTGTACAATAAATCAAACCATGAGATGTTTGCTCTGCCCATTCCACCCCCTACACTTCATCCGCTGCTTTCCGCTTTCTCACCCTCTCCTGGTATCTCCCGAGCCATCAGCAAGGTCAGAGTCACGTCACCTGCGGACGATCTTGTGCAGATGAATCTGAGCCTCTTCACTCATGCCAAGTTTGTCCACCTCAGCCTCTGGGATCTCCTCAACGTCAAACTCACCCGTGTCATGCAAAAGTGCGAAAAACATGAAGGAGAATGGTCTGTCGCAGAAAACGCTGTAAACGATGCTCCCCGGAACCGTCACCCTCAACAGAGTCCAGAGGAGGTCCTCGTGACTCTCTTGATCATAGAAGAGTTCAGACAAGATGACATAGTCGAATGTCTCTACATGGCTTTTGAGCTCAGATAACTCCCATCCTCTCTCCCCCCACTCCAGTTCCACAGCCTTCATGCTCAGTCCTGCCGCGCATGCCATGTCCGCCTTCATCTTCAACCTGTCCAGGCAGCCTCCCCCTCCTCCTCGCTCTGTTGCTGTAACCTTCGCACCCATCTTGCTTAAGGCCTCCGCCAGAACACCCTCACCTGCTCCCAGCTCGAGGAGCTTCTTTCCTTTGAAGTTGCCCTTCTCCTTCTTGTCGAGGAACTCCAAGAGCACGAGCGACGCCTTCCACAAGTGTCCTCCTCCCTCAAGCCGTCTCACCTCCCCCAGCTCCTCCTCGCCCTTGGCCTCCATCTCCTTCCGCCCCGCCATCCCTTGCAGAGCTGAACTAATCCAAATCAAACTAAAACGTTAGATAGTCGTGCGAGTGCCTCAGGACCGTCGACAACTTGGCAAGTTCCCAGTCCCGGTGGCCCGGCACTGGCACACCGGGTGACCGCACTGTGACCGGCGGCCGGCGGGGCCCGGCCAGCCTGGCTAGTACGGTCACATCACTGACCTTAGCCACGGCCAGGGCCCGGCCCAGTGGCCGGGCACACACTCCGAGTCAGGCTGCGACACCGTTCGGACTGACACGCCGGGGCCGCTACTATAAACCTTTACTCAAAGTTAAGTTAAAAATCAGTACGAGGACAATAATGAGAGACAATTTAAACAGTAGCTTTCAACTTGCGCCGCCAATAATGGCGGTTGACGGTTTACAGCGGCGGGGGAACGATCCGGCGAAGGCTTGTTGGTGCCCGGCCAAAGAAACACTGATACACCAAACGTTGTGAGTCGAGGCTCTGACATGTCGAGTCCGGCACTTGTCAGCATCACTGCCAGGCGTCACAGACAGTCAACGCGAGGTCACGATGTCGACATGGCGTCCGGGATCAACAGTCACCAATGGCCCGGCCCATTCAGATATGAGGCACCAGGGTAGACAGGGCTTGAAGGAGGGGTGATGGTACCCGGCCAAGCATATCCAGTGATATCAAACGTTGCGTCTTGAGATCTCCTTATGTCAGCATCACGAGGGAACAAGATCATAGAAGTCTTAACAGGTATCCGGGGACATCTAATACCACCCCACCTCGGCCCTAGAATCCGGTCTAACTGCTACCCCTCCTCGCACAGGAACATTCGCCCCCTACCCCCTTCTATAAACTGATTCTTGGCAGCCTCCGCTCCATCCCTCCTCCTGGTCAGCTTCCTGCTCCACGCGCTTGCTGCTCCTCTCCTTTGTCTGTGCTTGGACACCCTTGGCTCTGCTCTCTGAGCCCTGCTGTTGGCTTTTCGTCGCCATGCACGTCGCTCGCGCCCCCTCTCCCTCTCCCGCGCGAAGCATGGGACCTGCGAAGCTCTACGCCTACGTCGAGCCCTCCAAGGACAAGAAGCTCAGCGCCCTCCGCGACTCCATCGCCCTCATTCGGAGCAACGCGCGGGTTGTGAGCGCGGTGGGGGAGTGGATGGAGCTGGGGGCGGGGAGCCTGAACGAGAAGGCATGAGACCAAGTGAATTAACATCGGAGCTGCACGTGAGAGCTGAGAAGACTGGCCAGGACAGCGAGGACGATGGCGATATACAAGAGCAGGTGCAGGGCAAGTAGCAGAGGCTAGGGGTAATTCAAGGCATGGTTTCTATTACGCCGGCTTCAGGGGCGATTTTTTGATGTAATATAGCCAGGTTACAAAAGATAGTAATAAACTTTGAGAATGCAAACTGAACCGTAAACCATCTTGAAGATTCGAATGATTCATGCACAAACGGAATTTGCAACTGGTCCCTGTTGGTTTTCATGATCATGACAAGAATCTCCTACCTACATCTGAACGTGTCACTTCATGGATGAAATCATGCAGCAAGTTGCAAGACAAGAAGCGACTCAATTCAAAGATTGTCGATAGGCACTGATACTGCATTGTGATCACTTCATCATGAAGAAATACTTCTCAGCTTTACCTCGCACGACCCTCATCCTCTTTCGAATCAAGTTTCACTTGGGAACTGTCGGAACTTCGGAGCACTGACTCGGGAGGACTGCTAAGGAGGTCGCCTACGGACTTCAACAGCATGGTTCTCGGAGGATCAGCTCAGCAAGGACAAGAAGCTCAGGACCCTCCGCGACTCCATCGCCCTCATTCGGACAAACGCGCGGGTTGTGAGCGCGGTGGGGGAGTGGATGTAGTTTGGGAAAGGAAGGGGGGGGGGGGGGGGGGGAGGGGGGGGGTTAAAGCCTGAACCAGCTACAGGAAGCTATTGTTTTCATGCAGCGAGGGTAAGACAACAAAGAATAGTGAGTGTTCTCGAAAAGAATAATGAACTTCTTGGAACGAGGATTCCGAGCTGTAGCTCTACTTCTTTCTCTAGAGTTCAAGTCAGTTCTCGGCCTTTTCCTTCAAGTGTTAGGAAGTCGCTCCCATCACCTTAGCAAGCAAGTCTTTGTCCGCCTTCTGCAGATACTTGCGGCTCTGCTTTGCCAGCCTGATAGCAAACAGCCGTCAAGGCATTCCAACGGCTGTTGATGTTGATGTTGATGTTCACACCTCCGCCTGACATCGTCGGGGTCCGGGCTGGAAGTCCTTGTCTGGAATGAGACGGGTCTATACTCACTACCGGACCGGGCAGAAGCAGCATCGGACACGTAGAAACCGTTGCTGTTCATCAGCTTGTTCCTGCAAAGCGGCAAGTCAGTGGTACAGGCAATCAAGGCGCCTTTACACAGCAGGGGCTTGGGACTGACCCAAACGCGTCTTGGTGTGCTGTGGGTAGCGAGTTGCCCGCAGTTGTCCCAGGCTGGGAATTGAAAACATCGGCAGAGATAGATTCTGTTATGAGATTCTGGATTGAAGACTTCAGGCTGGAGCCACTTTCATTTGAGAAAACCTCACCCCCCCGAAATTTTCATCGCCCTGGCTCCGATTCTTTAAAATTTTGTCCTGAAGCGTTCAACAAGATAGTTGTTCAGTGTTTGCTGGTATGGATATCACTACCAAGAGACTCTTTCACTCACACTCATCTTGATTGCCGTCCGTGGAGAGTTTGAATCTTCTTTTGAATAAGAACCACTTAACTCATTCGAAACACAAGATACCGTGATAGTCTTCCCTCCATGAAACATTCTTGTTGCTCCTGTAAGGTACAGGCCACTCATAATTTGTTCACACGACTCTCGGCCAGTCAATTACCTGTTGGTCCTCATACCAGATTCTGTGAAATCGTCCACAATCTCCGTAAAGTCATCCTGTCCTTTGAAATCAGAGCATGTTTACGATGGCTTCCTGTCTTCGCACTTCAGTCCTTTGCAGATCTTCAGAATCATCATCTGTGAGAGGCTGGAGATGGATTCAGGCGTCGTCTCCAAGATCAGAGGTCTGTTGTCTCTGGTGTCATACCCCGAAGTGTCTTGTTGTGTCATCGACTGTCATGTTGTCCAGTAGCCGATGGTATTCTTCTGTGTCCTGTCAAGTCAACCATTACGGGCAACAGCTAACGCAGGAGAACTTGACACTTCACCACGTCCTCTTCCACCACGCCTCCTTGCAGCGAGGGAGCAGGACGATCGGCCCAGCCCTTCTGCCCCAGGGCCTTGCCGTCTCTCGGTGAGTTGCGCATGATTCCTCGCTGAAGAGGACTTCAGCAGCAGCGCACATACAAAAAAAACTCGAGTGCCTGTGCTGCTACGAGCTTTGGGACCGCGGCCTTGAGGTCTGTTAGCTCGCCCGGAGCTCGCTTGTCGCCTGTTGAATCGCAAGAATACGTGTGACGTCTGTGGGACGAGGAGGAAGAGCAAGCAACCTTGTTTCAATGCAGGGCTCGCACTTTCTTCTCTGAAAGACAAGATCGGGTCAGACAGCAAAGCGCTCGAGCCGAGACTTACATGGTGGACTCCCCTCCCTCATTCCCAAAGCCTTGAGTGCAGTTGGAACAATAGTTCCCCATCCTTGATCCTCCGCACTCTCTCCAGGTTCACCAACGAGCTGCTGACCAGTCAATTCATATCTCCTCCTTCATCCTCCCTGTTACCCCCTTCCCTCCCGCCTACTTCCCTGTTGCCTGCCTGCCTGCCCGCCCGCCCGCCCGCCCCTCCATCTTCCTCCTCCGCCCCCCCATTCGCTTTCTCCTGCTCAACTCCGGGAGATCGCACACTATTTCTGCTAGTGGTAACCTAGCCGTGAGTGGTAACCTCCAGTAGGGACAAACAATGGCGAGGAGCGGGGAGTAGGGAATCGCAAGAGGGTCGGGGGCTCCGAGGAAGGGGAGGGGAAGAGACACGAGAGATGCACGCTGAGAGGAGGCGCTGGCGATCAGTGGAGACGTCAGCTGCCATGCCGCTCCTCCCCCTGACTGCGGTTTCTCGCAGCACATGGCTTCTGCACCTGCTCCTCGCCGTGCTGTCACTGCCCCCTCCTCCCTCTCTCGGACTTACCCGTCATCCGGAGCATGTTCCCGTCGCCATCAACCTTCAGCATGTTCAAGGGGCTGTGGTGGAGGCAAGAATCGTTGGGATGCAACCAGACGTCTCCTACTCTGTCCTGATGCAGGCGATAGTCGACGGACTGATCGTCTTCTCGCAACCGATGAAGGTCAAGAGCTCGAGGATCGAAGTTACCATATCTGAACTGCCTCTGGGGGTGAATCAGCCGACCATTTCCTGCAAGCTCTATGACGACTACCCTCACCTCTCAACTACCGAGAGCCTCCTTGCTTCGGTTCAGAAGCAGCTCCCTATCACTATCAAGGAACCGCCATACTCCGACGAGACGAGGCTGAGGATTGCGTGCTCTGAGCAGAGCTTTGAGGTCCCTCCGTCGCTCCAATGCTGCAGCAGCTCGCACGAACAAGACCTGAACATCTCCCTGGCGTCCATAGGCAGCATCGATCGGTCGATTCAGATGCTGCATGTGATGCTTCAATGGGACGGGCCTGTGTCGCTGGTTTTCTATGCTAGGTCGGAGGAGGAGGAGCGATTTATCTCAGCATTTGTGGAAGAGACGATGATCCCAGCTGCCGTCAGAAGTTGTCGCGAGCTGAATCTCCAGCTACTGTCGGACTGCCACGACCAGGGCTCGCCGGAGCGGGTGTATCCCTTCCCAGTCAACAAGCTTCGATCTGTTGCCGTGTCAAGGGCCAAGACAGATCTCGTCCTTTACATCGACGTAGATTTCATTCCTTCGGCTGATGCTGCTCGTCAACTGCAGCAAGCAATGTCGTCGCCATCCTTTGATCAAGCCGCTGGCCTGCTTGTGCTCCCGGCCTTCCTAACCGTCTGGTCGTCACCTTGGCCATCGCCAATGAGGGTGGAAGACGAAGGGATGCAAGTAGAGCCTCTGCACTTAGACGAGCTGAAGCGCCGCTGCATCGCGGGTGACGTGTATCCTCCGGAGATGCCGTTCCGCATGTCGCCGCATGGAGCTACCGACTACCTCAAGTGGTTCCACATGCCAGCCAACAGGACAGAGCCGTTCCAAGTTCTCTACAGCATGTGGTACGAGCCCTACTTCGTCGTCAACCGCCGCCTGTGGAGGGGGATCAACCACCCTGGGCTCTTCGACGAGCGGTTCGTGGACGCTGGCCCAGACAAGGTCCAGCTCGCGTACGAGGCGGCAGTGTTGGGGTACTCGTTCTTCGTGCATCCAACCGCCTTCCTGGTTCACGTGCCTGAGAGGAAGGAGCTGTTCTGCCATGACAGGTTTGCTCAACTATGCAAGAAGCAAGAGGTCGATAAGACAAACTGGAAGGACAAGACTCTATACTTCTCCAACTTCCAGTTCCTCGACTTCATCTTCAGCATGCCAAGGTGGACGGACCACCGAGTCCCGGAGGGGTTTCATCGCCCCTGCTTCACCATCCCCTTTGCGTACATCACGGAGCTTTCTCGACGGGAGCTGATCTCGTTCCTCTTCCCTCCTGCGAAGGTCAAGATGGTCTGGACATGTGCGAGGGATAAGTGCGAACGAGTCCACGAGAAGTTTATGCTCTGGCAGGGTCATTTCCTGCCTCCCTCTGCCTTTCAAGTGCCTCCTCCGGACCTTGAAGCGCGTCAGTCCTTCAGGGAGGCCTTCAGCCGCTGGTGCTTCACTATTCCTCCCCTTGTCGGCATCTACTTCGTCCGTTCTGGCCGAGTTTTCATCCAGTATGACTCTCTCCTTCTTAACGGGGAGCCGGACGAGGTTGTCAATGCTTCTCACAAACTCTACACCAGCAGCGCTGCCTTCGTCCTCGAAATGTTTGAGGACAGTGGGACGAGCACGGCGGAAGTCCCTTGGGAAAATGAGTGCTTTGAACAGACCGGCAGCCTTGCTAAGCTTGTCTTGTGCCATATCCAGTCTAAGATGGAGACGAGGCAGGGCAACTTCGACGTCATCTTGCGATCAACTTACTTGATGAGTGCGTCTTGACGCGAGGAGAGAAGAAGGACCGTCAGGATATCCCGTCTATCTCTATCTATCGTCGTGCATCAGTTAAACCAGTCCATCTCGAGATTTATGCTTTATTTACATCTCACACCCAGTGGCACAAGCATATTCCCTCTTCTTCCTGATACTCCCCTCGCCCTTCCTCCTTACTGTACACCTATAACATCCTCTCACATCCCGCCGTCCTCGCTGAAGCCAGCTCGCTATCAGCTGCTCCTCCCTCGTCAGACTTGACCCGTTTCCCTACATCCTTATCCTCTCCCCTTGATGACGATGTCCTGCTCGGTTGCTGCGTCATAGCTCGTTCAGCCCCCCCGCCCCCAGCTCCATCCACTCCCCCACCGCGCTCACAACCCGCGCGTTGCTCCGAATGAGGGCGATGGAGTCGCGGAGGGCCCTGAGCTTCTTGTCCTTGGAGGGCTCGCCGTAGCTTGAAGGTAGCTGGGGCAGGGGAGGGAGGGAGGAGGAGCTGCCAGGAAGTGCTTGCATGGCGGTATCTTGCGAGCAGAGAGAGGATCGGAGATTTGAGGAGATACATAGTCTGAGATCGGATTGTTCCTGTCAATGAATGGGGTAGTTTAAAGGATTTGGAATGGGAAAAAGGGGTGGGGTGGTCATCAGATGTCACATGGCAATGTCTCAAGTTGCAACGTTTCACTCTCGTTTTCTGTTCCTAGTAGTAATATGTGAACGACCCTCGTGATCAGGTCGAGGAATGGTGAGACAGAACCGAGAAGGGAGGAGGAGAAGGGAGGAGGAGGAGGAGGAGGAGGAGGAGGAGGAGGAGGATTTTGAGGTGGGACGGCCATGTCAAGGCTCAGGGGCAACAAGAAGAGTTCAAGTTGGGGCCTCCTGAGGTCGGGAGAGCAAACGATGTATGAACGCGTCCATATAAGAACAAGAACCAACATCTGTTAGCCTGAGCCTCATCAGCAGACGACCTTCATTCGTATCACATATAAGCTTAACCCCTCCTCGCTCTTCCCCCTTACTGTACACCTGTAACACCCTCTCACATCCTGCCGTCCTCGCTGAAGCCAGCTCGCTATCAGCTGCTCCTCCTGCTCGGTTGCTGCGTCATAGCTCGTTCAGCCCCCCCGCCCCCAGCTCCATCCACTCCCCCACCGCGCTCACAACCCGCGCGTTGCTCCGAATGAGGGCGATGGAGTCGCGGAGGGCCCTGAGCTTCTTGTCCTTGGAGGGCTCGACGTAGGCGTAGAGCTTCGCAGGTCCGATGCTTCGCGCGGGAGAGGGAGAGGGGGCGCGAGCGACGTGCATGGCGACGAAAAGCTGACAGCAGGGCTCAGAGAGCAGAGCCAAGGGAGTCCAAGCACAGACCGAGGAGAGGAGCAGCAAGCGCGTGGAGCAGGGAGCTGACCAGGAGGAGGGATGGAGCGGAGGCTGCCAAGAATCAGCTTTATAGAGAGTGGGTGGGGAGGGGGTAGGGGGCGAATGTTCCTGTGCGAGGAGGGGTAGCAGTTAGACCGGATTCTAGCGCCGAGGTGGGGTGGTGTTAGATGTCCCCGGATACCTGTTAAGACTTCTATGATGTTGTTCCCTCGTGATGCTGACATAAGGAGATCTCAAGACGCACCCCCACGCCAACGCAAGCCAGTATGACCCCTCATGCGCAACGTTTGATGTTACTAGATATACGAACCAGTAATGTTCTGTATGTCAGCAATGTCCCAGTCACCCACCCACTTGATCCCGGATGCCATCTGGGTATCGTGACCTTGCGGATGACTAATAGAGTAATTGTTTTTTTCTTTTGCTAATAACTTTTTAAGTCGATCAAAGTTGATACTCCTTGTTGTGTTTCGTTTCAAGACTTAGGCCCGTTTCCCGCCGGCTCCCAGATTCCAGATTCCAGATTTTTTCATACAAATATAAGTCAATTTCTTTTTTTTGCTCCAAATGTTTTGGAGAACTCAACTATAAGTCATTTTAATTTGAGAATGAAACGATGCGGTTGACTTTCCCAGATTTTGCTTTTCGAATGGGTAGGCACTATATGGAAATATATTATTAGCTCAATCGAGAGAAATTGTTAGAATGTAGGGAGGGTACGCTGGGAGCATCAAATATGAACAGGCAGGGGACCCCACCCCCTGTGAGTATGTATTGAAAGCACCGGTGAATATTTCAGCGTAAATTTCAAATCTATTTGAATAAAGTCAAAAATCTGGAATCTTGGAGCCGGCGGGAAACGGCCCTTATACTTCTACTAACTTGATATTCCCCTACTCTCGTGATTGTGTTCAAATGCACTATCGCTGAACTCATCAGACTCGAAGTGGAAGTCAATGTGTTAATGAGACAACAAAGGTTTGTGCTATGACATCATGCAAGGGGAGAACGATCCTTTTATCATCAGTCAAAGGAACCCCAGAGATGTAAGGGGTTCCGAGCAATGCTGCCTCATGCACCTCTTCGAGCTTCAATCAACTGATGGTTGCACCAGTAAAGGAGATCTCTCGCTCTCGCTCTTCCTCCCCCTCCCTTCCTCTCTGTCCCTGCCCTGCCCTGCCTCCCTTCCCCCCTCACTTCACTTTCCCTCTTTTCTCTGCTCTCTCCCTCTCCTTCCTCCCTGACCTCTGACCGTAACTTTATCGCTGTTACGAACACTGGCGATTAGAATGCTTCTGATCTTCATTGAATGCTCGACAGAATGCAAGTGACACAGCCTGACTACTGCAAGTGACTGACTGCACCACAACACAGTCTCACAATAAAGAAACTGAAAATCGTGTAGCGTTGACGGCATCAGCCATTGTCATAGAGAAAGAAGAAGAAGAAGAAACGAGGCTTGTTCTCTATGACTCCGGTTTTTATTTACATCTCATGCTGACTATCATACATGTTCTTGATGCTGCTGCCGCTGCTGCGTCATAGCTCGTTCAGGCTCCCCGCCCCCAGCTCCATCCACTCCCCCACCGCGCTCACAACCCGCGCGTTGCTCCGAATGAGGGCGATGGAGTCGCGGAGGGCGCGGAGCTTCTTGTCCTTGGAGGGCTCGACGTAGCAAACGGATTTGTTGTTGTTGTTGTTGGAGGAGGAGGAGGAGGAGGAGGAGGGAAGGAGGACGGAGGAGCGAGTCGGAGGAGAGACATCGAGAGGGTTACAGGGAGTGGCATGCATTGCGGTGTGTGCCGAGAGAGGATGGGAGGTACCGTGTGTCTCCCTTTAGTAAGGGGGGATGCAGGGCGAGCGGTATTGCAACACGCAACGTTTCATGTGGATCTCCGTGCCGCGCCATGGCGAGTACGTGACTGATACATGGCAGGCAGAGTCCGTGATCAAAAACCTGCGATAGAGGCAGCACCCTGTCCTCCCTCTAGTCATAGATACTGCCACCACCTATTACAGACGTGATCTTAAGATTGCATCTTAGTATGATCGTCCTTTCAGTTGCTCCTCTTGCAGTTCCCTGTAATACTCTGACGGTTGTCCGTCAAGCTTGACAGTGAGCGTCTGCTCGAGCTCCAGTAGCTGCGTTACAGACTACTGGGTCACCATCTACCCATCATGATCTAGCCCAGAATTCCATCAATCCTTCCCTGGAAGAAAGCTTCAGGTCTGCAGCGTTGACGGCTGTGTGCAACCAAGCTGTTGAGGTGCATCTGAATTAGATTTCATGGCATTTGTCAAAATATAATCCAGCAAAGATGCTCTCAGCTCTTCCTGTAGACGTCTTCAACCCGAGCATCATGGTACCATCCACCAGGGCTCATCAGTGTGAAGTGAAGAACGTGAAAGACAAGATGATGGTTTGCATCAAACTTCATGTTTGTTACATTCAACACCCGAATCTCAATATCATACATCGTCGCCCTGTCTCAGTGTTGCTGCCATCCCGCCTTTGCCCTACAGTTCCGCAACACAGAAAGCGCTCTTACACCTTCCCTTCCCCAATCCTTATCCTGATCCGAACCTCGTTCTTATTCTTGACTGCATTTTTCATGTTCTGTCACCCGGTCGCTGCGTCATAGTTCGTTCAGGCTCCCCGCCCCCAGCTCCATCCACTCCCCCACCGCGCTCACAACCCGCGCGTTGCTCCGAATGAGGGCGATGGAGTCGCGGAGAGCGCTGAGCTTCTTGTCCTTGGAGGGCTCGACGTAGCAAACGGATTTGCTGTTGTTGTTGTTGTTGTTGTTGTTGGAGGAGGAGAGGAGGAGGAGGAGAGGATGGAAGAGGGAGAGGGAGCGACATCAATCATCGAATCGAGAGGGTTACAGGGAGTAGCATGCATGGCGGTGAGTGATGTGCCGGAGAGAGGATTGGACGAGGAGTGTGGAGACAGGGTTTTATAGGCTCAGCTTGTTCCTGTAAAAAGGGGGGTAGTTAGAGTGTAAAAGGGGGGTAGGTGTATAACATACAAAATTAGGTGGAGTTCTAGAAGTTTCTGGACCTCAGGAGATGCAACGTTTCGTTTCTCTCTCCGCTAAAACTGCTTGAAAAGGGCAAGCGCATGTCCAAGTCACGGTCGGAGCCATGCCGGCAACACTCAAAGCAACCGCTCGTAAAGCCGCTCAGTCGGAGCCTCGGAGTGTCACAGTGCTGCCAGGCTCTCTGAGCGACTGACTCTGAGGCGCGCCGCTACGAGGCCACATGTCGACGCCATTGAAAAAAAACGGATAGTTGACTGAAAACTGTCAACTCTGTCCAGTGGTCGCTGATCATTCATCATGTCCACGTGCAACTCAAATCTCGAGATCTGCCTCCTTCGTTTTGCTTTACTTGGAGTAAAACTGTTCGACGGTCACGGTTACCCCCGTCACGTTACCCTTGCTCACAAGACCATCCGATCGGGGACCGGCTGAATTGAACATCCTCTCCCCTTGTACGATACCTGCTCCTCCTGCGCATGCTCCCGTTGTACGGTATCTTCTCCTGCACCTGCTCCCGCGTCCTTCTGTAACAGCACTTGCTGCGTCAACAACCATGCTACGTGAAGGTGCGACTCGTGACTCCCAGTCCGCCGATCCTGGGAAGCTCTACGCCTACGTCGAGCCCTCCAAGGACAAGAAGCTCAGCGCCCTCCACGACTCCATCGCCCTCATTCGAAGCAACGCGCGGGTTGTGAGCGCGGTGGGGGAGTGGATGGAGCTGGGGGCGGGAAGCCTGAACGAGCTATGACGCTGGTTGGTAAGACTGAGTTGATTATCGAGAGATATCAGCGCCATGCAAGCATGAGCGATCAACTGTGCGACGTTGTGTGGAAGATTTCAAGTATCAGGAAGGTTTAGCGTGGTAAGAGACCGTCAATGGGACTCGGGATGGTAACTCAGAGTCAGTTCAAGGCCGTGAGCAAGAAGCCGAGTGGATTCATGTAATAAACCCTTCAAGGATTCTTCAACCCAAGGGCTGATCAGTGTCAGTGGAGTGCCTGCGCAGTGCTACTTTCAGCCTTCACGTTGCCCCCCGGTGAGCTCTCACTGAGCAACCCTCGGTGAGCTCTCACTGAGCGGCTGCCGCGCCGCAGTCAAAAGTCAGTCACTGAGTCAATCAAGGTCAGTGACACTGGCACGGTGACACTGTGACTGAGCCTCGGGCCCTCCGAGGGTATGATCGGACTGCCGTTATCGTCACGAGTCAACTTTTACCTCACTAGCCCAGGCTACCGGGACTCCGGGCGACTCGGCCCCGCCGTGACGGGCCCACGGCCACGAGTGCCCGGCAGACTGCCACCGGGGGCCCGCGGCGGCGCCGATCCGGCAAACCAGCGAACTTCGAACTTCTCCGAGGCTCCGAGCCAGTCTTCCGGGCGGTGGCTTCCGGCATGTCACACACTGGGTGACGAGTCTCATGCGGTAGCAGCCGCGCCACCGTCGTGACAATAGCCAGTCAGCATCGGCGGACACCGTGGCAGGCGTCGGTACCGCCGGGCAGCTCGGCCGCGCACTGTGGCACTAGTCGCGGCCCGGCCCGCGCGGAGGCGGCTAGTCACCGTGATCGTAAAGTAACGTAACTGCAGCATTAAATGATCTTGAGCCACCTCCAGGCCCGGGAAGAAGCTCACCCCGTGACTCAGACCCAAGTGACTTAGTTTTTACGATTGACTCAAGATCATTTAATGCTGCAGTTACGTTACTTTACGATCAATGTACAAAGTTACACGCGAGTTCGAACTTTCCCCGCGTTACGGGCTGACTCGCTTTCTCTAGCTGGCAAAGGCACTCCTAGCGTTCTCCTTTCCTCGTCCCCTGCACCATCATCGCTGAGTTTGCGCCATCTCAAGCTCTCGATTTCTCACCTCGTCTTCTTCCGTGGCTCAACTTCCTCCTCCACCACTTCGTCCTCATTCTTCTGCTTCAGTTGTGTGCTCTGCTGACTCTGCTGCGTCGCTCCGCCAACCTCCTCCACCAGCGCCTCCTGCTAAACACTCAGAACCAGCCACGAGGACGGGATGCACAAACCATGCGGGGAGGGTCGAGGAGGGGGCCTTGTGCCGGCTTCTGTTTCTTCTTCTTGGCGGAGGCGATGGAGGGAGCCATGTAGGACTCGACCATCGTCTTGTGCCTGTGCCACAGTGAGAGGCAGAGGAGCGAGAGGTGAGGAGATACTTCGACTCCTCGCACAGCAGCTGAACATCGATGGATCCTCTGTCGTCGGCGTCAAGGGCTGACGAGAAGAGACACAGCAAGGGACCTTGAGGAAGGAGTGATGGAGAGGTTGCCATCATTCACGAGCTGGAGGGTTGCTAGGAAAGTCCTGCAGACGTCGAAGCGCGACATCCCATGCACCTGACAGCGACAAGGGAAGGGAGGTTAGCGACCCCTCACCCCACGTGCTCTCACTCACGATGTTCTCGAAGGGAACCACCTCCTCCACAGCCTTCACTTCTCGCGCGACTCTTCCCTTCACAGTCTCTCCATAGGACTGCTGCTCGTCAGCACACCCTCTTCGTCTCCGCCTCCTCCTCACATGGATGTCAAAGGCTGGCCGCTTGTCCTCCTCTTGCAGCTTCGGCTCAACTTTGCTCTGCCACTCACGCACCTGCGACACATGAGGGCCGATTGAGACAAGATGGGGAGAGGCCAGTTGGGGGGGGGGGGGGGGGGGGGGGGGGTAGGGGTAGAGGAGGAAGGAACTCGTCTACGCCCTTGAGGTACTTGTCGACATAAGCCTGGAAGACCTTCAGAAGGAGCTTCGGCCACCCTCAGCCTCACTTTGCACATTTGCTCGTACGTGAGGTCGTCATGAAACTCTATGTCAGGCTCTGTTGCAGAGCTCAGCAGATTCGCCCGAGCAGCCTCTCTCCTCATCACCTTGCGTTGCTTTCTTGTGGAGAGCAGCTGAAAAAGTCTCGGGCCCCTCCTCTGTGCCCACGTCACCATTCCCAGCGAAAGGACAAGAATCTTCACCGTTCACAAAATCGTTGTCCCATCCTCCGTCTCCATCGTCGTCGTCGTCAACCCCTCCGCACATGTCCTCGTACTCCAAGGGCTTCTCCCCTGCAAGGTTGTCCAAGACTGAGGGAAAGGAAGGGGCAAGCAGAGCAAGGGTCTGCACCAGCAGCCGGGAGGTCGACCATGTCGTACTCATCTTCTTCAACTTCGAGCAGCTGAAGTTTCTGCTGGTGACGTCAGCATCTCCAGGTTCAAGCGGTTGACAACCGCGAGGGAAGGAAGGGAACGAGGCCGAGGCTCCCTGCTGCTCTTGAGCTGGAGAGCAAGCACGCGGTTCCTCTCCTCTACGAACGCCTGTGAAGGTTCAGAGCATGGCTTTCCTGGAGCAGCAAGGGGTGGGGGAGGGGGTGGGGGGGGAGACAAGTCGACTGAGACGATGAGAGGGACCTTGGAGAACTCGTGGAAGAAGGGAAGCTTGAGCGAGCGCGTCTGATAGGACCACAAGTCCACTGCAACCTCCGTCATCAGGATAGGAGGGAAAGCGACAAGAGCTGCAGCAACAACCGCTCGCTGAATGCTGGCGAGATGCGGAGGCCACGTTGGGCTTGCGAGTGGTGGAGGCCTTCTTGAAGGGGCGGGACGGGATGTCCATCCGGTCATGGGGGTCTGGTTGCAAGTCACTGGGTCCCTTCAGTCTCTTCCATTGCCCTTCACTGACCGAGCATCCTCCAGGGATCACTCGCCTCCTCCACTCGATGGCCTCTTGCCGTCTTGCGATCATCTGCTGGGGACAGACATGATTCTTGCGCGCGGTGTCGGTCAAGTCTCATGCTCACCCTCTGCTTTCCACCCTTGCATGCCTTCCATCCCACCTGCTCCCGGGTCAACGATGAGCAGCCAAGGGCGCGGGGGAGAGCAGGAGGAGCAGCTGGTAGGAGTGAAGACTCAACACACCTGCAGCATCCTCGTAACCATCGTCGTCGTCGTCTCCCTCATCCTCGTGATCGAAATTAACATCAAAATCAACCGTCTGCTTGTAGCGATCAGTGAACTCTGTATCTAGCTGTCCTTTCACCTGATCCTTTGCGATGTTGGTGATGTTTGGGTCGTTGAAAGCTTTCTCCTGCTCCTGCTCAAGCAACTTACTTGACGAGGCTCCGGAGGCGTCCCTCACCTCGGAGCGGAGCTTTTCTACCTCGAGGGATCTCTCGAGTTTGTTGTCTGTTGTGAAGTTCAAACAAGAGGAAGCCAGCAACTACTCTGTCTCTCACCAAGGATCCCTTGCATACTTGAATCGAGGAGCAGGGCGCCGGAGGAGTGGACAGTGGCTGTTGAGAGCCTGTGACAAGGCTGAGCAGCATGCAGTGACAGGGCAAGCAGGCGAGACCTGAGGTCTTTGTTGGGGTCGGGGTTCTCGTTGTCCACGTCGAGGCTGAGCATGAGGAGCATCGAGTTTTGGTTGGATTTCACGTTCTCGCCATCATCTTCCGCCTGGATGAGAGCAGTTTCAACGCGAGACAAGGAGAAACGTGGAGCAAGTGCAGTGTCAACAAGCGGAATCGTCGACAACCTCAACGAGGTCGATCGCAGAGCTCTTGGCCTCACGAATGTCATCGAGGGCGATGAACTGAACCTCGTCAGCGAAACATTTCTGCTAGATGGGTGAGGACACGGAGGGCAAGACAGAAGTTAAGCACCTCAGGCTCGTTCTCCTCCTCTTCCGCGTCATCCTTCCTCTTCTGCTGCCTATCTGTGATGATCTCGAGGACAGCAAAGACCAGGCGGTGTAGATATTCGACTTTTCTGCTGTACACACAAGTAGACCCCTGTAGCCTCCATCACAGCGAGTTCACACAACCCGAGCAACCAAACATGCGCACCTGAATGAGAAGTGCTGCTTCTGCAAAGTTCATGATGGTGTTCCCGCCATCGAGACTAATCTATATCATGTATCACCCACTTGCACACCAGCTGCTACCGACTGATCATTACCTGAAGCATTTCGAGTTCGTTGAGATATTCCTCGAGGTCATGCGCGATATCAACATTCCAGTTTGATGCAAGATCTCGAATCGGTTCAAGAAGATGTTTGAACCTTCCGCTCATTGACTGCTCACCGCTGGAGTAAACATACAAAGGAAGAGGGAACGTTTGCCTGCAATCACCTGATCCTGTTCTGATAACGACGTTTTATCCCTGCGAAACAGTATTCTCAACGGTGATGTATGCTTAATGGCAAGACATCTTTCCACAAACTGACTGTCCAAGGAGCTTCACAGATATCGTGAATGAAATTCCCATTGATTCATTGACCATCGATAACATCATTCTCATCTCACAACACTACGTCTTGTGTTCACTATTCCCTCTATCCGCTTGCTCCCCTCTTCGCTTCCCGATCCACATGAATCTTTCGTCGGAACGAAAATATGGCTACTTTCGAATCCTCTCTCCTTATTTGTGTTCTTCCATATCTCTACAACTCCCACTCTCTCATTCGAACATTCTGATTTCTTCTCAATGAATGTTGTCTGATCATTTTCTGCATTTCTCCTCCTCCCCCTCTCCAACTTCTCACCTTTCGCTGCCCCGCATTTTTGAATTTCAGTTTTGCCCAGCCTACCACCCCTACCACCCTTTCCTCGGCACCCAGCCTTTCAAAGCCTCCCAGTACCCTCCACCTCCTAGACCTAATATGTACCCTATAGTTTTACCAACAAATACCCCCTGTTTCAGAGGGGATCCATCACTCCATGTACCCCCACCCCTAAAAACTTCTCGTACCCCCAGGATCAGGGTACTGTTGGTTTCTGTACCCACCACATACCCGCAGGGTTGTGTACCCACCCACTTGAATACAATCCAGGGAAAGTAAGGGGTACAACCCCGATAGGGCCCATAGAGGGTAGGTACACAACTTATGTGACTGGGGTACTGAAAGCAAGTACCGGTACTATTTTCTTGTAGTACCGGTGATTTAATGGTGAATTTAGAGGGTCTTTCAATGTCATATGTGAGCGAGGTGGACTTTGATTCGAGAAATGGGGTAGGGTAGTTTGTTAAAATTGGGGTGGGGTGGTAATGGAGGGCGGCAGAGGAGCGGCGCGTGCGGAATGAGGCGGGGAGGAGAAGGAGGCGAGAAGGGAAGAAGAGACGAGGAAAGAAGTGAACTGAGACGAGAAACGAACGATCAGGATGTGTTTCATCGCAGAGATGATATCTGAAATGGGGAGTGTCCTGCTGTGTTGTACGGTGCTGATCATTGGACCCTGGTGCCGAAGGGCAGCATTTCGAGGATCTCTATATAAATGTTTGCAAAGGGGCGAAAATCGTGTTGGAATCATGTAAAAACTATTCTTCCAACCTGATGTCGTGATCTGGCGGATATTTTTTGCTATAAAAGTGATGGATCTGTTGGCTAAGCGAAGGATGACAATTAAGTAATCTGAATGCTAGTCTTGTTGAAGGATCCGTGATAGTTAGACTGTGTGCTGATGTATGAAATTGACATGTGCGTCAAGCATTGGTGTTGTATGAACTAGCTCATGTGGGAAACGGCCATCAGAGTGGACGAAACAAGGGTCGGACTCACATTCTTGAACCGACATGTGATCCTGTCTGTGATTTTTCAGGAGTTGAATCGGGAAATAATTCTTCAAGATGTCGAAGCAACAGAAGACAATGACACAACCTATCGTGAGTTCATGTTGGTCCTCAGTTCCGAAACTCACACGTTCTCGTCTCGATGGATGAAATGCAGAACCTGATCTTCAGGTTTCTTCAAAACGTGAGAAATGCACATCCGTTGAAAGATAGTCATTGACATGGCGGCAGAAATCGCGCATTCAGATATGGCTGTATGAAAATGCTGATCTGCGCATCGAGGGTCAAATTATTGTGAGTGCTGACAGTGTAGAAATTGTTGTTCTCTTCTCATGATGTTGGTTGCAGGGGTTTGACGAGTACATGAATCTCGTGCTTGACAATGCAGAAGAGTATCACAAGAAGAAGGGAACGCGCAAGCCACTGGGAAGGATCCTCCTCAAAGGAGAGAATATAACATTGATGCAAGTTGTGGACGGATCCACTTCATCAGCATGACAGGGCTTGTGAAGCCCTTTCACCTTTGAAATCTCTTCCATTGGGATGTGCATGGACTCGCTGGTTTCTGCGATTTCTGATTCTTGGATGGCCCATCCTGTATCTTCAGCTCCCAGTCTTGCTGGTTAAAATTCTCAGGGTCGCTCAGTTCTAATGCTCAAAGTTCGTCTCGTCAAGGATGTCGAAAGCAGCTTCTGACACGATAATGTACTGCAAACATGTTTATAAAGAATCAACTGATCGTCATTGTGTGAAAGAGGTAACATGCTAGGATTCTATGCCAGTTTCTTGCACTTTCCTTCCTGTTGAGCGTTTCGTGACTGGACCGCGTTCCCAGAATTTTTGGTGCCGTTTCTCCTCAGATTGTAAGAGGATGTCGATGAAAGATATTGTATCAATCATACACTTCCTGAACATCAGATGAGATTCGATCTGCACGTCGTGAGATGAACTGAGATCAAATCAAGCATTCGCGGTTGCTAATTGTGAATCCGAATCAGATTCTCTCCCACCGAAACATTTCCTACTGCTGTATTTGACTTCATTTTCAACTATAATCATGTTCATCGTCGTCGTCGTCGTCGTCGTCGTCGTCGTCGTCGTCGTCATCATCATCATCATCATTCTCCAGTATCTCCTCTCACCTTCAGTTTCTCTTCTCCCATTTACATCTTTTCCGCGGCCCACAAAGTTTGCCATGTCCTTACCACCCACCCTTGAAGTATTGTTTTCCTCATACCCTACCCTATATAAAACTTCCTTTCACCCTACCATTTTAGATGGATCCTGTCGAATAGTACTACCCTACCTACTTCGGGGAGAAATTCCTCCACCCCCTCTGTTGACCCGTAACATTACCCTCCGGAATGCTTCGATTAGACGCTACCTCACCCTACCCCCTGAATCCTTGCTTTTGACCGTCTGCAGGAGCCAATTACCCCACCCTCTCTTCAAGTACCCCATTTTCATATCACCCTACCACCTATACACAGCTCCAATCCCTGGAAAAAGCCCCCTTCAATCGATGACCCACCCGAGGCACAATTGTACCCCCTTGAATTTGTACCCACCCTCATCTCATACCACCTTGGTTTGACTACCCCCCAGGATCCCTCCTTTCCCCCTTTGGGCCTGTCACACCCGGTGTCCGAAACGGTTCCTGAAACATACAAAATAAAATATTTTTAATATGTCAATAATACTTATAGAGTTTTAGAGTAATGGCTTTTAAAACTGATGTCCAGGAATCCCATGATTAAAATTGTATTAAGCAAGTTTTAAAAGTTATATTTGGGGATTCCGGTTCTAGCTGTGAGAGGAGAGGATAGAAAATTCATACGAATTAAAATTAAACTATGGTGGATTCTAAAACTTGAAATGGTACAAAGGCTACATATATGGTTTTAAAGTGGTAATTCTACTTTTAGCGCCAGCTCCGCTGACCATGGCGACCAGCAATGGTAAGGACACTGAGCAAAGAGGCGCGTGTTTGTGCCGCCATGAAAGGCAAGAAGAGTTGAGTAGAAAGAACGATGAAAACGATATCAATGATGAGGAGATGAGAATCTGCATGTCTTCCTTCTTGTCAACCTGCTTTGTTCTTGTTCATGCTACATTCTTCTACGACTGCTGTTTCCCTTCGCCTCCATGCCAATCATCACGATCACAACAACATTGGAGTTACAAAAACCAGGGATAAAATATTTGTCTGCATGCATGTTCGGGTTGTAATCATTGTCTTCTCTGCTGTGATCATGGTGATGTTGGTTGTTCACATATTCCTCGTCTCAATCATTATTTCTTCTCTACACCTGGATCCACGTTTCCATCATAGTTTCTCCAGCTACAAACGTATGCATCACTAGAAGTGTCATGATTATCAACAATTTCGTCGCCACCACCATCACCACCACAACAACAACAAACAACAATCCCTCATCGCTATCCATCTCTTCGCAATCCGCTGCAACATCTTGGCGAGTTGCGATATCAGCCACGTATTTTTTTCCCATGAAAATCATCAGAAAATTATCCGCTCTACATGTTGCGCATTGCCAATTCTATCTGTCCTCTGCACCATGGAATTTGCAAGTGTTTCACTATGTTGTGCATTTCTACTTTCTGTCATTGTCTTGTTTAGCTCCGTTCTCGTGTGGATTATGCTATGACGCGATAATTTCAGGAGGGCAAGGTTTTGTCTACTCTGGACAGATCGAGAAAGGGCAGATGCATGGCAAGGGAACACTTGTCTACCCTAATGGTTATTCCTCCTCCTCTCTTCTTCTTTCTCTTCCCTCCCCTTCTCCCTTCCTCTTCCTTCTCAAGCACTGCAGTAGTAGGAGAAGGCATCGTACTCTGCAGCTGCATCTTTTCCTTTTGCTTGCTGGGGCGTGTTCTCCTTCCTTCGCCTTTCTGTCCTGCTGTCGACGAGGCTGCTGGCTGACTTGCTGTCCTCTAGGCGAGAAGTACGAAGGAGACTGGCAATGGGGCAAGCGCCATGGCTTCGGGCGAATGCTCTTCCCTGATGGGTCGCGATACACAGGAGACTGGGTGGACGATCGGTGAGAGGAGGAGGAAGAGGGAGCGGGGAGAAGAGGTGATGTAGGAGCAGCGTGCATGGTCAAGGAGAGCACATCTATGCCAACGGGAATCGATACAAGGGAGAGTGGGTGGACGGGAGCATCACTGGAGTTGGCGTCTTGACCTTCGCTGTGCGTCTTGTTGCGCTCAGGGAGAAGACTTCTTACTTCTTGACAGGACGGCGAGAGGTACGAGGGCGAGCTGCGAGATGGCCGCATGCAGGTGCTGGAGGAAGGAGTCCTCGACCTCGTTGCTGACGGGTACTAGGGACGCGGCACGTACGTCTACGTGAACGGAGATCGGTATGAGGGAGAGTGGAAGGACGACAGGAGGCACGGCCAGGTAAGACGAGGAGCGGTGAGAGTCACAGCTGAAGACGGCGGCGGATAGGGAACGGTCGTGTACATGTCGGCTGAGGGCAAGGTGGTGGAGAAGTACGAAGGATCTTGGAACATGGGCAAGATGCACGGGTGAAGGGAGGAGGGAGGGAGGGAACGTGCGTTGAGGAGTAAGGCAGGTGGGGTAAGTATCTCTACGCCGACGGTGGAGTCTATGAAGGAGAGTGGGTGGACGGAAAGATGCATGGAAGGGGAACATACGTGTTTGCCAACAAGAACAGGTCGATTCCTGAACCCTCCCTCCATATCTTCCTTTTATATCATCACTATCCCCTCCTCACTCCTCGCTCCTCGCTCCTCGCACCTCCTCCATCGCAACCATTCGTGGCTGTATCTTGTTCACTCTCCCTCCATCCTGCACGGCTTCCTCCCTCGTCTTGCAACAGCTTCTGACGTCTTGTGGTCATCTTTCGCGGCAGGTACGAGGGCGAGTGGGTGGCAGACGTCAAGGAGGGATACGGAGTTCTCATCTATGTCAATGGCGAGAAGTACGAAGGCTCCTGGAAGAATGACAAGGTGAATCCTCCCCCTACCCCTCCCATTCTTCGTCCTACTCCTACTCCTACTCCTCCTCCTCCTCCTCCTCCTCCTCCAACTCTCCTCCTCCTCCTCCTCCAACTCTCCTCCTCCTCCTCCTCCTCCTCCAACTCTCCTCCTCCTCCTCCTCCTCCAACTCTCCTCCTCCTCCAACTCTCCTCCTCCTCCTTCTCCTCCTTGTCTTGTCCTCTCCTCATGCTGCGTCAAGATCGTGGGTCCCTGGAGGAAAGGCCTTATTGCAGGCCCTGTCGACTTCACTATCAACGGGCAGGTACGCTCCTCCTCCTCCGTTCCTCCCTCCCTCGAATCTTCTTGACTCCTCCTCCCCTCCTCTCTCCCTCCTTCCGCTCCCCTCCTCCTTCCTATCCACTCCGTTTGCCCCCCCTCCCTCCCCCTTCTCCTCCCTTGTATCTTCTCCCCTCCTCTCTCCCTCGCACATGCTTGTCGTCTCCTCTGCCTCTCTTCCTTCTCTGACGAGCCTCCTGCAGTCGCCCTGGAGCAACCCCGAGCTGTGAGGCGAGCAAGAGAAAAAAGGAGAAAATTTGAAAATTTGAAAAATTTTCTTCTCCTCAAATCACGCCCAGGCCTCCGTTCCTTCACCTCGTTAACTACACACAGACAATAAAGCAGTAGATTACTTCCTCTTCCTCCTGCTCTTCCTCCTCCTCCTCCTCCTCCTCCTCCTCCTCTCCCCTCCTCCTCTGCCTCCTCCTGCACCTTCAGCTGCTACTGCTTCTCCTCCTCTTGCTGCCCCCCCGACCACCACCTCGCCTCCTCTTTCTCCTCCTCATCGCTCAGCTGCAGTGGCGGCTATCACAGCAGCTCCCACTCCCGATCCATCCTCGCTGAGCTGCGGGGGGTCAGACCATCGACCAGTAAGCGGCAGGGTGACCTCGAGCACAACCTTGTTGCCATCCTCTCCCAGCAGCTCCTGCCCGAACTGAGATGAGCAGAGGAAGAAGAGAAGAACGCGTGCCGAGCAAAGGGGGGAAACGAGCAAGATGGGGAGCAAGAAGCAGCAGCAGCAGCAGCAGGGGGAGCAAGACGAGCAGCACCAGCAGCAGGGGGAGTAGCAGGGCCAGCACCAGCACCACCACTATTAGCAGCAGCAGCAGTGGGAGGAGGAGGAGGTGGTGGTGGTGGTGGTGGTGGAGGAGGAGGAGGAGCAGCAGCAGCAGCAGCAGCAGCAGCAGCAGCAGCAGAAGAAGAAGAAGCAGGAACCTCTAGAGTGAGTGATATTCTCTCTTTGAAACGAGTGTAGAGCTTGAAGATGCTGCCGTCAATGCCAACGACTGAAAGAAATGAGGAGACGAAGACTTGGGAGGAGAGGGAAAGAGGGGGGGGGGGAGGAGACAGGTTAAGGATCAGGGAGAGAGAGGAAAGGAGAAGCAGAGGAGGAGGGAGGAGCGGAAAGCAAAGGCTGGTGGATGAGGGGGAGGGGAGGGGAGGGTGCGACCGATTTCTTGGCCCACGAGCTTCATGTGCTTGACGATGGCGGCAAGGAGACAACCACTGACTGTCGCAGCGCGAGAAGAAACCTGGAGGGAGAAGAGGAAGAGGAAGAGGAAGAGGAGGGGGGGACGAAAAGAGAAAGAGGGAGAGAAGGATGTAAGGAAAAGCAGGAGAAAGGGACGGAAGAGACGAGGAGGGAGGTGGAGGAGTGAAGAATGTCAGGAGGGTGCAATAGAAGCACAAGAGCTGCGACTACCTCACTGCAGATCTCGAGTATCAGCTGGGCAGCAGGTGGAGAGACTTGAACTTTGAGCTCCTCCTGGAGCAGCTGCTGGAGGTCTGCCGGGCTGGAGGAAAGTGAGAGAGGAAGGAAGAGGAAGACGACGAGAGAAGTGAACCAAGGAGAGAGAGAAGGAGAGAGAGGAGAGGTGCAGCAGCAGCAGCAGCAGCAGTAGGAAAGGAGGAGGAGGAGAAGGAGGAGGAGGAGGAGGAGGAGGAAGACGAGAGAAAGGACGAAGACTAGGAATGAGGAGCAGTGAAAATCGGTTAACCTGCTGGCTGCCTCGATCTTAGACGCGAGGGAGGAGGTGAAGGCTTGACGGAGTTGCTCCGACGAGAGAGGGAGAGAGAGCTCCTTGGCGGCTGCAGCAAGTGAGAGAAGGAGAGGAGAGGAGAGGAGACTCGAGAACAGTGAAGTGAAAGAGAAGCAAGTGACAAAAGCAGGAAGAGGAGGGAACAAGGAGGAGGTGGAAGCAGGGAGTAGGGAAAGGCAGGGGAAGGATCTTCGCACCGATGGCTGACTCAAGCATTCTTGCACAGAGGTCGCCGAGGTACCTGAAGAGAAAATGAGAAGAAGGCGAAAACAAGGAGGAGCAGGAGCAGAAGGACGAGGAGAAGGATGAGAAGCAGCAGCAGCAGCAGCAGCAGCAGCAGCAGGGCAACAAGAGGAGGAGGAGGAGAAGGAGAAGGAGAAGGATGTTCGTCTCACATCCCGCCGATCAACTTCTCTAGACGCTGCTGTCCCTTATTGAGCGAGTCAGCGTCAAGCTGCTCGTCCCTGCCGCTGATTGTCAAAGAAGGAAAACAGACACGTGCAGAAAAGGACGTGAAGCAGGAACAGGAATAAGAGCAGGAGCAGAAGGACGAGAACAAGGACGAGGATAAAGCAGTGTTCTTGGAAGGGGTTGGAGGAGGAGCGCGAGGGAAGGGGAGTTCGGAGGGGAGAGGGAGAGAGACAGAGACAGTGACAGAGAGAA